TGCTGCATTTTCTACATTCTCAGTGACCGGTGCTTCTACACTTTCCATTGCTGCATTTTCTACATTCTCAGTGACCGGTGCTTCTACACTTTCCGCAGGCGCTTCTTCTGCATTCTCGGTGACTGGTGCTTCTACACTTTCCATCGGTGTATTTTCTGTATTCTCGGATGCTGCTTTTTCTACACTTTCCATCGGTGTATTTTCTGTATTCTCTGATGCTGCTTTTTCTACACTTTCCATCGGTGCAGTTTCTGCATTCTCTGATGCTGCGTCTTCTACACTTTCGACCACTTCGTCTGCGGTGCTCTGGGTCGCCTCGTCTGTTGCATTAGGGGCTGCTTCATCTGGCACTTTTTCTGCTGTTTCATGTGTTACATTCTCTCCATCATACGCATTCATGGGTTCGACCATTTGTTCTTTTGCGCTTTCTCCAGCATCTACGTTCATGGGTTCAGTTGTGGGTTCTACAGTTTCTACGGTAGGCTTTATTTCCGCAAAAGATTGTGGCGTGCCATTGGCAGTAGGTGCTTGCGTGGAGCGTCCAGCTATGGTAGAGCCATTACCTCGCATAGACGTTCTTACAGGTGGCCCCATTGTTACTCCGGTTGTTCTTGACATGGAAATGTTACTCCATGATCCCACAGGTGGTGCTGTGGTTGGCCGTCCCCTGCTTGATCGTCCCATGGATGATAGAGAGGCATGGGATACACCTACAGGAGTAGGCGTTAGCACAGTTGAATCCCAGGGTGGCATTGGTCCTAAGACAGAAGGTCTAGAAGATCCTTCCCTATATGACCCCTTCTTTGTGCTTTTCCCTTTTCCTCTTTCCATGGCCATGTTGCTCATATGTGCATAATAATTAGCTGAGGAGAAGGAGTCAACTTCGTTCACATATTTAATTGCGCTCTTTTCGAAGGCATCAATAAAATCTTTGTCCACTTTATCTGTTATCCTTTGGTAACTACCAGTGGGTTCTAATAAGTCATTACTCATATCAATTTCGTATACATAGCATCTGTCTTGTATGGGTTTATTGGCGGGGAATTGAAGCATATTAATTTTCTTCCTATTGTTCACAAAAAACGACTTGTTCATTTCATCCAGGTGTTCAAATTTTAACTTCACTCCACCAAACTTGCGGACGCTCTCTTCATAGGGATCTTTATCAGGGTAATTGAATTCATGTTGAGGATGGTTAAAATTGTTGTGTTCATTTACTATTGACTCTTTGGATGAATTAAATGCGGAAGCACTTACACGGCCTGATGCCGCGGCCAGCAGGGTGATAAGCGTCAATAGAAGGGGCCATTTTTTCCTCGGCGCGGGCTGCTCGTACAGGTTCAAAATGTTACCTAAAGCGTGAACTTTCATTTTTGACGTCGTTCCTTACCATTATTTGGCTTGGGGCGTACGGGCGTGCGGATGTGCGCGCTGGTTCGTTTGGAGGATTGCACGTTGGGAAGATTATACGTGTGTACAACGGTACATTTCCACGTGCGCACGTTTGTACGTGTTTTTTTTTTTTTGTTTTTTTTTTTTTTTGTCTTTCCTCTTCCCTCCTTTGAAATGGATGCGGTCAAATGTTGGGAGAAGGCGAAAAAAAAAAAAAAAAACGACGTATTTACACCTCTTAGGAGAAATAAATGTTCCTGTTAAACTCACAGGGGCGAAATGTAACTTGGGTGCATTTTCATGCGCACAGCGGAGGGGTGTAAACGAAAAAATATATATATATAAGTGGCGGGACCAAAAGCAGAGCAAGTAAAAATGATGCAACGTAATGGGAAATCGCACGAATAATTCAAAAGAGAAGGAATGCCAAATGATCACCGCGCATGTAACATTTTGGGAAAACGAAATTTCACTCGACGGGGGGCACGCTATAGTAGAAGTAGCTAAACGTTTATGTATTATGTATAATGCAAATGCGCTTGTACGCACATATGTGCATATAGTACATGTGCACGAGTTGCCCACGTTTCCTGCCCAGAGTGTTGTCGTACGTGGCGCTTCTTTGCTTCTAAAAGAGTGTGGGTGTAAAGAGAATCAATTCTATTATGTAAACATAATTTCTATTACGCACACAAGGCGAGCGCATGTTTTTTTTTGTTTCTTGGATCATCCATTTAAAACAATTTTTTTAAAATAACAAGGAAGCAAAGTAAAATAATGCCAAGCAAAGCAAAGCAAAGCAAACGAACGCAATGCGAAGCGAAAGCTAATAACTACTCGGCCAAATGAAGCAAAAATTGGTGAATTATTTTTGCAAGTAAAAACGTATATGCTTACATTATTATCTATATTATGTATATAAATATAACATTTGCATATAAAAACAAAAGTTTTATAATTTTTTGAACTTTTAAAATTTGCGTTAAAAAAAAAAAAATTGCAAAGTATTTCAAGTATTGCATGCCCCCTCAAAAAAAAAAAAAAAAAAAAAAAAATATATATATATAAAATAAGAACATACACATAATATATATATGCATATGTGCAAGCATCATGTAGAGCTCAGATGGGGGAGCAACGTGTCATATATTTCTTTCAGTGATGTCCATTGGGCATAAACATAGAAGTATAAATAAACGCGCACAAATGCATATAAATATTATGTATAGGTATATATTTATGGGTATATGCTGCGTATATATGTACATACGTACCATATACCATGCGCCCACATGCAGGGCGTTTTTTTTTTTTTTTCTCGCTGCGCTTCACATGACCTCCAGGGGGGAAGCATTTCTACAGCGAGCAAATGCACCTATCGTGAATTAGTTTCAATTGGGACAAACGGAAGGGGCATCATTTCATTATACAACATTTTGAGGAGCATAAAAAAAGAAGAATAAAGTAAGCACATACCTATGCGATCATGTAAATCCGCGGCTCTTTGTTAAGTAGATATATGTTCGTTCCCATATGCGTACTTCCATATGTACTGCATACAGCGCGAACGCAAGGTACGATGTTTGAAAGGGGAAGTAAATTAGTCCACTCAAAAATACAGCTTTACAAAGGGGAAGCAGGGAGCAGGGGGGGGCCCAACTTATTTTACCCACAATGAAATAACGCCGTTTTTTGTTGAAATAGATAAAGGGCCAATTTTATGGAGTGGGAACGACCTTATACACGTATATATGCTTTATGCAAATTGTACCTATGTATGTATAGTACCTTTTTTATACGCTGATATTGTTTTTTATGTAGAGTTTTCTGGCGTATATTCCTTCCTGCACACGTGTACACAGCGCATTCTTAAGGTACCTTCCGCCGCCAGAGCCCCTTGTCCCCATCCCGGCGATGACAGCACATTTGCTCATGCTCCCACTTGAATGTTAATGCACAAAAGAAATGCGAGAAAATTGAGTAAAGAAAGCCCCTACTCATTCCTTCTAACTATGCAAAAAAAAAATTGGGATGTTGTTCATTTTATCATTATGGTCATCTTCCTTTTTGAGGAACAAATCAGGGGCTACTTCGTCCAAAACCTGCAAGTTGTTTGGGACCTCTGGCGCGCTCTCGCTTGTGAATTTTATTAGGTGTGCAGATTCGTTTAGCGAAAAGGTGCCCCCATTATTTCCGTTGTCATGGCAACGGTTGTGTTTGCCGTCATCGTGAGCATTGCCGCAGTTTGCCAGTCCATCATTATGTGCACTCCCCAAATGCACATAACTTAGCGCTCCAGCATAACCATTACACGAAGCAACGCAAGGACCCTTTGTTGCCCCTGGTTCTAAGCACAAATGGAAATTAACGTCTTCATTTGCCTGTCCTTCATCGGCGGCCACATTTCGCTTCAAATTTGCAAATTTTTGCAGATTCGAAATTTTCTTCTTAAATTTTTTTTTTTCTTCCCTTAGCTGGTTTAGCTCCCTCTGGAGCCTATTCAGCAGGTGGCAATAAACGATGTTTATTTTTTTCTGTTTCCTTAGTTCCTGCATTAGGACGATATTTAGCTGGGCGTATTGATCTTCCCCAATAGTAGACATGGGGTGTCTCCCTCCGTATTTACGGCTAGATTTATTTCCCCTTTGTGTACTTTGTCCTTTTTTGCAGCCCAAACTGTCCCAGTGTAATCCCAGTTCGTCGTCAAGTGATAGGAAATTTAAACAATGCGTGTTCCTGTTAATGATGTGCTCGGTGTGCTTCAGTATGTAGTCTCCCCCCATGGTTACATTTTCCGTGTTTATTGAATTTGCTTCCTTATAGCTTACGTTTTGCATGAGGTGCTCTTCTACACCGTTTCTGTGTTTTGCTTCTTTTTTTTTGTCCCTCTTATTATGGTGTACATTATGGTGTATATTATCGCCCTTAGTCGTACTATTTTTGTTTGTCCTTTTTTGCCCCCCTTTGCGTGCCCCCTGCAAATATGAGTCGTTTTGTCCCCCTTTCTTTTTACTTTTCCTAAATTTGCTGAATGTTCCTAAGGAGTGCTTGTCCTTATTAACGTCAAGAAAGGGCAAGTCGGTACATGCCTCTTCTTCCGTAATTGTTTTTTTCTCCAATTCGTCCTTTGTATCGCTTCCTAGGGAGAATGTGTCTTCCTCTACTGCACTTTTGCCTGCTACTCCATCACGCTTTTCATCCCTGCCCTCGCCTTCGTACCTTTCCCCCGTGTCAAGTTCCTTTTGTGTCCATGCTGCATAATCATCTGCATTTCCCATTTTTGTTCCTCCTCCTGCGCCTGAAAAAGACGCTCCATTTTGAGTGGTTCCATTCCCGAGGGAATCCACAAAATCGACACCTTCATGCGTATGTTTCTGACAAGGGAATGATCTCGTCATTTCAGTTTGTTCCAACTTTGCTTCATGATCCATCAGGGAGGACATTTTGTTTTCTTCCAAATTAGTACTTGCACTTGTCGCACGCTCAAGCAACTGGCTGTCCGCACAATTTGCTTCCACAATAAAGTGGTCTCCCATGACGTTAACATCATCTTTCGTGCCCATACTAATGTAGGCGTATAAATAGTTGCATCCATTTCCCACAGAGTTGTATTTAATAAGGTTATTGCTTCCCTTCTTATCATGGGTCAATTTTGTATTCAGGAGTTTATTCATGCATTGTACCTTTTTGAAAGAATCAAATAAAAACAATTTTTCATTTTCTGTCAATATGATAATATTATCGTCATTGCATGCGAAATGTCTGATGCGTACATTTGCCATGTTGCTCATTTTTTTAATCCCCCGAATGTTATTTCCCCAGACGTAAAAAATATGATTTTTCGTTAAACAGGCTGAGTATAATTTCCCCAGGGATACCTTCACCACCGTGTCGTTATTGGGTATATCAATTTTTTTAATTTTGTAAGTTGACGGCTTGTTGCTTTTTATGCCCAACTCGCCATTTCTATTTCCCCCCCAAGTGTATACCTTCCCTTTGCTCGTAAGCAGGGCGTTGTGGTTATAGCTGGAGTGTATGCTAGTAATTTTTATTTTTTTTCTTAATTCGATTTTTTTGGGGAAGTACACACTTTCCTGGCGTCTGAAGCCCAGTTTTCCGTGTTCCCCGCAGCCACAGGCGAAGATGTGGTAGTTGAAGCCGTCATCACGGGAGTCTGCACTCTCATTCGCAGCATCATCGTCGCCTTCTTCGGAGTCGTCTTCGTCCATGTGCTCCCTGCCGTGGCTGTTGCCCACGTCCCCATCATTAATATTTATGTCAAGTGCGTTGAGGCACCTTGAGCCCACTTCCTTTTTCCCCTCCATCATACAGGGGGATGTCCCCCCTTGTTCCTTCACATTCACCTTGGATGCACCTGATCGACCTTCGTCATTTCCATCTTCACATTCGGTTAAAAAAAGGGAGTGATTCTTACCACATGCAATGTCTATGACTTTTTCTTGAAAGTAAATGAGCAGTGGCATAGAAATTTCATGCGTGTTATTTCCGATGCCTAATTGGCCACAATTATTATTTCCCCAGACAAAAACGTTGTGGTTACACATTAAGGCAATAATATGTTCATACCCACATGACACTTTTCGTACTTTCTGTTTTGACAAAATTGGGTTCATCGTCAATTTGATTCTATTCGTTTTGTCACCCAGACCCAGTTGTCCATAATTATTTAACCCCACAATTTCAAAGTCGTCATTTTCGTATATAATTATTAGGTTATTTGGCCCGCTGTATATGTCCTTAATATGTGATGAATTTTTTATGTTAATCAGGGAAAATTTCTGTTTCTTTTCTATTAAGAATTCCTGCAAAGGGAAGGGGGCGACGTTGATAAATGGACGCATGAGCGCAAAGTTCTATTGGGGGGTTTGGGCCTCTTCTCCCCTGCTACGTGCGTGTGCTTAGGAGATCATGCTGCTCAAACATGGTCATTTGGACACACTGTCCTACTTTCAATCTCATACATACGTGTGTATAAGGGGAACACGTAACCCTTCCAAACTACACCCACATTTACAATACCTTACATTCGTTCCGTGAACGATAAGCCGATTTTTCCCCTGTCCATTTCCCATCTTCGTGGAAGGGTTTGTTCTTATGGCATTATAATGCGAAGGAAACCTTAATTAAAAAAAAAAAAAAATATGAACGTTCAGGTATAAAATTCGCGTTGCACGACAAGTGTGGTGTGCTATATAAATTTTTACGGACTGATCAATTATGATAAAATTACGATTTTTTCCTTATGGCATTTTTGACTGTACGGGGGGTGAGGTGACGTAGGCATAATCATTCGGCGACGCATTTTTTTTTCTTTTTTTTTTTTACATTATGCATCGTTCCAAATTGCGTGTACACCCTTTGTCACCTGCGTTTTGTAAACCTTCCCTGAGGTGGGGCGGGTACGGTAGTGGTATCCTTTTTGAGATTCTCTTAGTTGGACGAACAGCGATTTGAGTAAATAACACGCCCCATTATTCCATTTGTCTTTTGAAATACAATTTGTTTTCCTCGTTTTGATTCCTTCTGTGGAGATGCTTAGCGGTTAAAAGGTAAGACGAAAAACGCGACGAGACGCTAAAATAACAGCGGAAGAAGTAACATCCTTCCCCAACCCATTTGTTCCAATTTTACACGAACGGGTATGAGGCAATTATGGCGCAAAACATTTACACACAGTGACACGTTCTATAAATTGAATTTTTTTTGTTTTAAATCTTAAAACTTTTTCAAAATAGTAAACATGTAAAGTTGCATATAAAAAGTTTTCACCAAATGACAGCACAACATGAATAAGGAAAAAATGGGTCCGTTGGAACCCTTCATCAATGGTTTTACTAATTTTATATATTTGACAAATGTAATCAAAAGGGACGGTTGAACTGTCTTATGCATTGAGCGTAAATGGGAGGAACACCCCGCTGTCACCCATTTACCCCAAAAAAAAAAAAAAAAAATACTAAAAATTATAAACGCATGAATGTGTGATGCGGATGGGGGGAAAGCATGCATGCGGAACAAAAAAAGGATGGACAGGTGAGAGAAAACATGTATGAAAGAGGTATGCTCAGGCGGTTGTTACTAACAGAGATAAGAGGTACTCTACGAACAGCGCCAAGGCGTTCGCTACTCAATTCTCACACGGTCTTTGAGGCGTACTTGGTGGAAAAGACCATGTAGGCGGAGAGCAGCAAGTCCGCAATGAAGGTGAACAAGCAGACAAAATTATTTGATAAGTAGACGTACAGAAACGAATTCAAGTTACAGAACCACTTGGTCTCGGTCGTGTTGGAAGGAGCGATGGAAGCCGCAGCCGTGTGGACATGGTGCATCTGAGTCATTTGCAAGTATTCGTCATAAGAGCAGAAGAAAAGGTTTCCTTCAAGTAGGTAACTGGAATATAATACTTGGCTAACTAAAAAAATTAATGTGCATGCATTTGTTAAAACGCTAACGAGGAGGTAAAATTTGCACGCTCTTAAAATTCCATACAAATCGTAATAGCTCAACAGGGAAAACAAGATGGCCGAAACTATGGTACTCACGATAAGAAGCTGTAGATAATAATTCTTATGTTTCTGAGTTGAATAAATAATTATCTTCACAGTGTCACTAAAACTGTTCAAATCGTAAACATTATATTCTAACAGAATTCTTTTAAAAAAAGATTTTGTTTTTAAAAATATATAAAATAATGCTAGGTATAGATAAGCCGAAAACAGTTTTACGTAGAAGAGGCAGAATTTTTTTCGAAACGCTTTGTCTGTATTCAAGTATAAGGCCACAAATTCAATCATGGATAGGAACATAAAGACTGATGGAAATACAAATGCATAATTATGCATGTGACATAAATTACTTCCTGCGTTGAGAAACAAATCCCCTTTACCGTAGTCATCAAACCAGTACATATAATTCTCAATGTTACAGAAAAAACTTCGATTTTCCAAATTTTGCAGAAAAATTGTACATATAAATAATATGTCCAAATGGAGGCTGATCAATCTTATGTACTTCTTGCAGCTAAATAATTTTATGTAAAAACATTTTACTCGAAAATTTGAAAATATTTTCAACAAATTGAGAAGGATTAGAAAGGAGCCACATACAATGTTGATTATGTTAAATGCTTTGTAATAATTCATAAAAATCTGGTCATCCTTGAGGATGTTTTTGTCCTCTTCTCCTATGCCATATTCTGTCTTTTGTTCTTCCCCCAATGTTAAGAAGTTGTTCGTTAGGAAATTAAAAAGTAGGACATATGTTGCGGTTGCAATTGCTGATAGGATTCTTACGCCTACTAGACCGTACTCATGATACTTCTTAGCTTCTATGTCTGTGTGTGCTGGCGCAACGTACGTTCCCTTCATTCTGAGGATGGGCGCGCGACGCCGGTTAAAGCGGTGTGGTCTGTTGCGCAACCCTCCCGTTCCGCGTGTGTCGCGTTAATCATTCGCACAGCAGGTTCGCTAGCTATCGGGTTGGCCGGTTTGGTCAGCTCGAATCGGTTTTTATTCAGTTTCGTTTGCGTAGTTCTCGTTTTACACTCCTCACGATCCTGTATCGTATAGGCCTTCCCCTCTCGCCGATCCAGTTCCTCCCTGTCTGCGATTTCTCCGCACCTCGCGCGGTTTGTAAAGACCCAACACGGTGTACTCAGTTGAAATATATGTGTCAATTTGTACCTCGTCTTTGGAAAGGTAGAAAATTTCATCGCATATTGTGAACATGCTTCATTTACGCAAAAAGGGGGGAAGGCAAAAAGGCCTTGTTGGGTTAAATCCTTACCTTTCTCTGCCTTGCAGGTAATTTGTTTAACCTTTAGTTAGTTTGCAGGTAAATTCTTACCTTTAGTGCGCACATGGGACAATCATATGCATATGCAAACACATATTTACCTGTGCGCAAGTATTCGTAAGTGTAAGCCACCCCTCGCGCAATTTTTTTTTTTGTTTTTTTTTTTTTTGGGGTGGGGGACAGTATTTACACTGCTTCACTTCGATACCTTTCCATTTTTTTGTAAAACTATGGCGATCAACATGAGAGTTACAAAAATGACCACGAGGCTGCGTAATTTACCAAATGTTGCCATGTGAGAACGTTTTCCCGCCATATATATTTACAATACACTTGTGGCGCGCTCAAAAATGTGAATGACCGACCTATCATTCGATTTAATGCGCGAAGATGTTTTTATGCTATCCCTTCGCATCAGCTTTGGGTGCTGAGCAGCCGCAGCGCGTGCACTTGATTTTTTGTCCTCATACAAATGTGTGCGCTGGTATGCAAAGGTCGCAAATGTTACGCAGGGTGCGTGTATGCCATGCATTGTATATACATATGACATACAGAATGGAAAAACTTTGCGCAACGCAAGGGAAGTGCTTTAAGGTACATTTGCCTATTCGCCTCGGCGTAATGGCTGCATAGTAAACACTGTGGTATGTGCCCTGTAGCTCCATTTCGCTGCCTTAAACAATAGCTCCGGGCGATACGAGGTTGCCAACTGTGGGACGCAACGGCGGAAAGGGTGTGGGGCAAGCATTATGCGAATTGCACCATTTTGATGAAGAAGTTTATGCCATTTTTTTTTTTTTCTTGTTTTTTTTTTTCACCGGCGAGGTTGTTCAGATAATTTTTGCTACAGAGGGGGTGACCTTCAAGCGCAAGCAATGATTGCAAAGTGTGCATAGGCACATCCATTCGTGCGCACTTGAGATGTTGCACCAATTTCTGCGCGTGTATCTTCTCATATCCGTGGGCAAAAAACAACAGGGTTACTGTTCCAGGAGGGGTGGGTTTTTAAAAAAATGCGAATTATCCAACGTAACATGGTTAAAATGGAAACAAAATTTTAAAAACTAAAAAGAAGAAGCAATAAAATAAAGATAGCATCACGGTGTAGAAGAAACAAAAGGTTGTCGCCATGATGTACACATGTGCACAGGTTAGTTGAGCTCTTCTCACTTTACTAGCAAAATGGCTAGTCGTTTTTTGTTTTTTTTTTTTTTTCCTTGTAACTTGTGCAATTTTAAAGCTTTTCTTAAACACCCCCTGCTTATGGTATGGAAAAGGGGAAAGACACAAAAAAAATATATAAAATATGCCCAATAAATGGGTAAATGAATAGACAGTAGTTGTCTTTATCAAAGTGAAACATATACAACTGATAAAGAGCACAACATAGAAGGTTAAAGCTCTTAGGGCAGTAAGCCGAGGGAGGAAGGGAAGGAAAAAAAAAAAAAAACAAAAAAAGAATTCCCATAATAGGTGACAAATGAATGAGGGACGTGTTTATTGTTAATGCGCAACTGTGTCATAGAAGGAGGCATTCAATTCAGCATTGAACAGGTGTACCCCCTGAGAGCGAAACTTAACAAAATACTTTAACAACTTCGTTGAGCTGATCTATATCCATCGGCATGTGCTCATTTTTAAAGGCATCATCGATTACGCTTTTTTCCCCCTTATCGTCTACTTTGACCAAAGTATAAACAACGGAGAAGTAATTTATGCATTCTTTTTTGGAAGCCATTTCTTGCAGCAACGGGTTTTTTATGTTAATCGCTTCGGTGATGTTTTGGTTTTCATCCCCCAATTCATTGAGCAACTTATCAATAGATTTATCTCTCCTCAACTGTTTTTTTCTCTTCGTATTTTCGTGTAATGAGTTCATCCTTAGCATCGTCAACATATTATCTTCCTCATCGCTTCCCTCGCTGCTGGCCTCACTAATATGGCCAGGTTCCGCTTCCCCTTGCTCTTTGGTGGTCGATCCTACCCCAAACAGAGTTATTTTCATGGAGGTGGAGCCATAGCTAGTCACGCCCCCGATTATTTTATAAACATTTTCATACTTCAGGGGGCGGTTATATGAAATGTCTATGTGACGAACTACGTAATTCATATTTTCAATATCTGTGGCTGATATTTTGAGAAGATAACAAATGACTGAGTTGCCACAGTGCCTCACTTGGTTCGAATGGAACATGATGTTGAGAATGTCTAGATCGGAAAATTTCACCTTCTTCGATTCGTATAGCATGGTGTATGTTTTTCCATCCATTAGAAGCTTCAGGTTTATTGCTTCTGCGGCCCAGCTGTGAAGGTACAGGCAGAGCAGCGCCAGGAGCAGCGCGAGTGGGGACATCATCTTGGCGCTTAGCGCGGACGAAGTTAAGCACGCTGAGTTGAGCTAACCGAGTTGGCCAAGTTGAACTAACCCAGTTGGCTAAGTTCAGTTGGGCGACTTACGAAGACAGAATGGCTGCTACTGCAAAGTGCTTAACACTCTGTTGGGGGTGGGGTGGGGTGCTCTAGCTGCGGAGGGCGCTTCTTTGTGGACTTTGGAAAAAATTGCTAGAGGTTGGAAAATATGGTCACAGGAAATCACGGACAAGGGGAATACGCACCCGCGTCTGCCCGTTATACTGTGTATTATATACACACACATTTGCACGGGCTCAGTGACGCATCAAATGAAGTTAGAAAAAAAAAATGGTGCATTCTGCCCGCAAGTGCACACTTGAAGCATCCACCGCGGATGCGCAATTAATTTGTTTTCCATTCGCTTTACTCTCTTAAGTTATTTTTTTATTCATCTGGCTAGCAGCTCATTGCCCTTCCATTTATTCCTTTGCCTATTTTTTTTCCTCCCCTTATTTGTCTACCCATATTGCGTATTTTCTTATTTACCAATTTACACCATTGCATTCCGCTTCCATTATAGAGGAAAACCCCAAAATGGTTGCCCTGGGGTGGCCCCAGCTGTCTGCACATCATTGCCGCTTGAAACGATTTAATTAAAAGTTGCTGTTCTTTTTGGTATGAAAGAGGGTGAGGATTTTAAAAAGGACAATATTGTTGCGCAAAAAAAAGGAATAAGAAGGGAATAAACAGGTTGACTGGTTAGAGAATCATGGGGGAAAAAAAAAAATTAACACAATGCAACAAAATGGTGCAAACTGCAGCCTGACGTAGACAAATAAGGCCGAACAAAATTACGAGGCGCATCGCAATGCGCTATCGAGGATGCACCAAATAGACAAAACGGGGCATGTGAGTCCGTTTTCCCTTGCCCCCATGAAGAGGAGAGGCGGGTTCTCCACAATGCAGTACCACCGACCAATAATAACGGGTGGTGACGATTTATATTCGACTCTTTTTGTTTTTTTGTTTTTTTTTTTTCGCCTAGCAAAAAACGCTGATTAACTCTTTCAATTTTTCAACTTCAATTGGCGGAAACGCCTTTTTGCATTTTTCCTGAATAGATTCTTTAATTCCGTCTTTATTTACACGAACTAGAGTATAAGTAGCAGTAAAATAATTTATACATTTTTTCTGTGATGCGATTTCCTTCATGTTATTCTTACATAGCTTGATAACTGCATCGGCATTATCTTCTTTGTACTGTGCAAGAAGCTTTTCTACATGCAAGTGACTTTTGCTGGTCTTTTTGTTTGGACCCTTTCCTGTGTCCACTTCGCTTTGCTCACTTTGGAAGTCCCCTGAGGTGGAGGTCTCTTCCCCATTATCTTGCTCGTCCAAAGGCGCACACGCCCTGCTTCGCAAAATATTTTTAATACCCCAGTTGCCGCTACCTTCATTTCTACTCATCGAGCTTGTCCCAACTACAGTTAGCGTTAAAGAGGTATTCCCATAGGCTGTTATGCCTCCAATTATTTTGTAACTGTCCTGATACTTTAGTGGTTTATCATAAGTGATGTCCACATGTTTTACTACATAATTTATTTTATTCACATCTGTTGATGTCATTTTGATTAGATGGCGGATGATTGCATTTCCTGAATGCTTTACATGATTCGAGTGGAACATAATTTTAACAGGATCAAGGTCTGAAAATTTCACCTCCTTTTGTTCGTACATAATGGTGTACACCTTGCCATCCAGATCTACCTTTACATTTTTTGCCTCCACATTTTCACAATACGCTAGGAACAATAGGCAGGCTAGAAGTTTAATGCAAAAGGGTAGCACCACCAGCGCCCTCTTCATTTGGCCTCTCCCGCTGCTTTGACAAAAAAAGGGGAACTGGTAGCGGAGGTACTACGTGCGATTAACTACGTGGGAGTACTGATATGTGGGGTACGACTGCGCGGTATGCTATATATGCAGGCCGATTTATTTACTCTTTATAAAGGATAACTTTTATTGTGGCACAGCGTGAGAGACTCACTTGGGCAGTCCTACTGTGGGGAAAAAGGGCTTGATGGCTTCCGAGCTAGTCGAGCCTGATGAAGGAACTATCGAACCCTAATTTTAGAAAATGAGATATATTTTTTTTCCTTTTCCTTCTTTTGCGGGGATAATCTTTCCCTTGTATTTCATATTTTTTCTGAGCACAGTTGGCCTAATATAACAAGCAAAAGGGGAGTTTTTATTCTACATAGAAAGGACAAAAATGGTAATGCTGAGAATTAGTTTTCTACTGTATACAAATCGTATCTAGAAAAAAATAATCCTCTTTTTTTTTTTTTTTTTTTTTTACCTCCTTAGCACTTGTGCATACACCACAGTATTATTTTTCCAAAAAAAAGAAACACCTTTTAGCTCGAAAAATGGAGCTTAAATGGTTTACACTTTTTCTATGGGTTAATACTTGTGCGCACTTTTATCGTCTCATGAGGAATGTAGAGAAGAAAATTTTATTATTTAAAAAAAAACAAAAAAGTTCTGTCAGAATTTGAATGGAAAACAGAAAGGAACAGAATATTCCCTCGTGTATATGTGCATATAACATGTGCATCTTCGCACAATGCTTGGGGCACGTCAACACAGTTTTAGTGAGCTAGTGTTGTCGACATTCCTCTAGGGCATAATAGTATAACACAAACTTCTAGATAAGCATTATTTACACATACACAAATATTACTAAAAGGGGGGAAGCTTCAAAAGGGTTTAGGTAAAACCAAGTCCCCTCTTCGTATAACCTCCCAACGAGTTAGTTATCACTGTAGCGGTAAATTAGTGTCCTATTTAGCCGCTTCCACAAGGAAGGTATAAAAACAGTAAAGGACAACAATTTGGAACAAAAACGGTTCGATCAATTCGAGCGAGAAGTAGCTCAGGACTGTGCGCGAAAACATCTACAGAGGACACGTACGTCAGTCACCCAACTGTTTCAAATGAGACGACAGTGTTACTCCGCAGGAAAATGTGGATTAGCAATACGCGCGAAAAAGATAATCAGTGTGGGAAGGCTTTTTTAATATATTTTTTTCTCTTTCTTTTTTATTCATACGCTGCGACATGGTGAAGAATCGCACTTGTCCTTCGTTCCTCCTCGGCTAGGCATACATAAAAGAACATATATTTATGTGTGCATTTGTATTTTCTGTTCCTTCATTTTTCGCTCCTACTCTTGAACAACCTGCAAAGGGAAGAGGGGAACAGAACGAGGTAGATACAACAACACACTTCTGCAGCAATTGGACACAGATGTGAACGGACGTCGGAGAACACCCCTGCATGTACACTTAAACATGGGGTAACAAACGGATTGTTCATTTTTTTTCTTTTCTTTTGAGAAAGCAGGGAAAAATAGGTAAATGTAGACGCATCGCTAATTCCGCCCCATATACAATTCTCATTTGTGGCGGAAAATCAACAGTGCCACGGTTTTCAAAAGGGGCAGTTATCCTATATGTCTATGAACCGCGTACTAACGGTGTGCGCTTTTTGTATTTAAAAAAACACCGGGGGTAACTTAACATGACGAGGTGGGCACATTTCTCGCAGATGGGGCATAAAAGCTCGGGGACGAAGGCGCCATTCCGCTTACCTCTTCTTCTCCTTCCTCTCCTTGTTCAGCTTCAATTTGAATAGGTGCCTTTCATCGTGAATTCTGCATGGATCGGGGGGAGTAGAGATTCCCACGCGGCGATTAGATTCGAGAACACAAAAACGGTAGGCTTTTGCACATTCGTATGCGCTCCACAATGTGTAGGTATGCAGAGGGCAGTTTTACATTGTTTGGTTAGCTCAATTCTTACTTGTAGAAATCTTTCGTCTTGGACAGGAGCTGCATTTCCTCCTTGAGCTTTTTCGGGTGGTCGTTGTTTAATCTGCTCTCGATTTCGCTGATGGGGAGGGGGCGAAAAGGTGGGGGGTGTTATGCCTTAGAAGTCTCGTCTGAGAGGGGGACATCCCCCCTGCGCGTACGTGTAACCTGTTACGCATACATGTAAGTTATGACGCGCACACATACGCGTAACCCATGCGCAGTGTAGGCCCTACCCTGGGAGCTGCAAGGCTTCCTGCCGCCAGTACGGCGAATTCAACGCGCTCGTCTTTTTCTTCAATTCGATCAGCCTATTATTCAGGTAAACACACAAATGTTCATCATCCAGAATCTTCGCGCAAACAGAAACGGAACCCGTTCCATCGTTTATCTTCAAAAATAAGCGATCAAAGAACTCCAAAAAAAGCGTCCAGCTACCAAATACTTTGTACACAGACATGCCTGACGTTATAATTTTATGGGGATAAAAACTGTACTCAAAAACGTGCTTGAAAATATCCTTCATGTTTAAAATGCACTTATAATTTTGTAAATATTTAAATAAATTCAGAGCAATATTAATCACACTGTAATTGTAATGGTCCTGTTTAAAAAAATAGTTGTAATCATTCGACTTGTTATTATAAAGGCTTTTGAATTTTAAAATTTTACTTTGAAGAGATAGGGGTAGTCGTATATTCACATTTCGCATGCATTTGTGCATGTCCTTTTTATTATAAAAGGTAGCATAGCAGATGTTGTTATTAATGTATGGGTCGTTTCTGTGACTTAGGCATCTTAATATTTTTAAAGGGCCATACTTGTTTAAGCTTTTTCTGAGTCTTTCCTGGATGTACTCGTTCGTTCGGTTAGTGGGGAGGTTCGTTATTTCGATGGTATTTTCTCCGTACATGTACAGATATTCGTACCTGGATGGAGGGCGGTGGGGTAAAAAAAGGACAGTAACACATATCAGTGTGTGTGTGTGGAAAAGGTTGTACTTGCTAAAGCATGCATGTACATTTGTGTAGGCACTGGCGCTTTGTGCCTCACTAAGGATAAGCTCTCCCAAAGTGTACAGCCTCGTGTGATTACCCAGACTTGGGTGTACTGTATCTCCAATCAATGACACCCTTGCTGTTCCTGGAGTACGGCGGCTGGTGAAACAGACTAACGCCTATCCTTTTCTTTTTCTTTTTCTCGATGTAGCATTTGATTTTGCTCCCCCCAGGGTACTTGTGAAAGAACCTTTTGAATATCATCCTGGGGCGATTAACTCACTGGGGGTCCTCAAATTTCATCGTGCTTATAGCGAACTCCGCATTGCAGGTAAGAACAAAATTGGCGCTTCCACTTGTTGGTACATTCCACCTTCAGTGTGTTCTTTTTATTTATTTTTTTTTTTGGGGGGGGTGGCGATCCTTCCCAGAGTGACTACACTTATTACACCTCGCTGGTGGGCCAATCAAAGGAGCATACCGGAGAATCAGTGAAGTGCCGAAAGGGCGCAATGGTGAAGTTGTTTTGTGGCATAAACGAAAAAACAGCATTTCGCGGTAGGCATTATCAACATACTCCTTTGAGAGTGCGACAAGGAGGGAACATCTCGACACACAGTTGGAGCCAGTTTACGGCCATTTGCGTTATCTCCGCGGTGAGAACACCTTCGCGAAGTTTGAGGGCATTGAAAATGCGGGCAAAAAAGGGAGAGTGCAAAAAACAGGGGCGATAAAGTAGGATGTGACAAGCACGCGGTGGGAACAAAATCGCGCGAGAGAAGAGACAGCCCAAGGCGAAGACGATAAAATAAAATAGAATAAAACAAAATCAAATAAAGCGTAAACATCAATACCTACATAAGGTATATAGACTCCTTTGCGCTTAAATTAGCAAACAAATAGTGAAACGGAAATTAACGTAAAGAAACTCGCGAAAGAGCAGTTAATCAGGTGAAAAAAAAAAAAAAAAAAAAAAAAAAGGTAGCCAATATGTAAACTGTGTGCAAATGGAAGGAACGCCTTTCTCCATATGTGCTCACTGGATTGGGAGAAAAAAATTGGGACAAAAAAGAAACACACATTGTCAATTTTTGTGTCCTATTATTGCAAATAATTAGGACCAATTAAAAAGGAAAAATTAAAACTTCACTATTGAACAATATGGAGAAAACGGAGTTTTTCCAATGTTGATGTCGTGAAAAAAATTATGACCAGCTGAAAATATATATATATACATATTGTCCATTTTAGCCCCCCGTTAGGCGGCTTCCTCTGTGCCGCCTGTTTCGGTCCGGAAGTTTGTGGCACGTCGACAACGGTTATATTTTCTTTAACGTGTAAGGACACATACAAATATATTGACGACTAGGTACACATGCCTACGCGCGACAAAATGGAAAAGGGCGGCAAGAGAAAAATGAAGGACGACGGCTTCGGCCAGGATGATCACGAAGGCAACGAAAAAAAGAAAAAAAAAAGTAAAGTGGAAGCGAAACCCACAAACGATAAGATCCACAGTTGTCTAAACATTCACAACAATGTACTGATAAAAATGGTTAACGAGAACAAAAGAAAATTTGAAAAAGCGGACAATATGGAGACTATATACAGAAAGATAAAGTCAAGCATAACTTCGCTCAACGTTTCAAGTGTGCTAATGGAACACTACGATTCGTTTATTTACTACGAAAAGAACAAAATCGATTTCCTCCTTCCCGAGTTGGACTCCATAATAAATTCCTCCAACTTAGACGTGCTCCAGGGACTGAGCGAGTTGTCCTTTTACCCAATTTACCACGAAACGGTTAAAAGGAACAAAAAAAAAAAAAAAAAAAAAGGGCCCTTAATCCTATCGACTCTATTACTTGAAGTTGCGCTACATGGTTTTATATTGTTCTATTTTTTTTTTCATTCCGCCCAAAGGTGAGAAACAGAATAATCGAATGGCTATTTAAAGACCGTGGGAAAAAACAAACCGACAAAGATGACACCGAGAATATGAGCATGTCTTATTGGTTTAGCCTAAACATCCTCCTGACGTATCTGATATACAAAAATGACGAGTACTCCAGTTATGCTGCCCTGGTTCACCTGAATTTGTTGCAGGTATGGGGAGACACATGCAAACAGGCCGCATTGTCGTTCTTTTATGAGGTGGGATCGTGATGTCACAACTAGGGGGGGACTAGCGGGGCTGATTAATTTGTCTGCACCCGTTCTCTGCATTGCTAACTCACATTTTTTTCGTGCGCGCCTGACCCCCTTTTCAGTGGATGCAGCGTGACAAAAGAAGGTTACACTTCCGTCTTTTTACACTGAAAGGAATCCTCAAGCGGTTCCTGACCTGCTCCTGCTACTTCAACGACAAAGAAATGGCAAAACAAAAGAAGGTGGACAGCGAGGACGTGAAAAATGGTACGGCTATATATAGACGTCGAATGAGGGAGGAATGGGGGGTAGTGCGCGTCGCACGTAAGCAATGTGCATGCATCTTATGCTGTGTACACTTCCATTTATATGCATGCACTGACCGCACCAATGCACCGAAGCAGTGATTCCCTCATTTCCTCCATACCCCATTTTTTTCTGTGTCTGAAGAAAACGAATGGATTGTCCTAAAAAATGTATTCATGGCTCTACACGAAAGCATAGAATATTTAGACGTAAGCAACTTGGTCAACATAAACGATAAAAATTGTATTTTCGAGTTAATCAAATTTTTTCTAGAGTTGGTAAAAAAGCCATTAACTCATTGTATCCATATGTTATGTATTAACTACCTAATAAGTATAGTAAGAAAATGTTATGACTTGAGATTTACTTACAAAATCAACGTGGAGCTCTATGACATTGGCCCGGAGGTTAATATCTTTGTTAAAATAGTAAACCTAATTTTTGCAAAGATATTATTACTCTTGAAAGAGACAAGGATCGAAGAGAGTACATATTGTGTGGACCACATTAACAATATGAACAGTTTAATTATTTTATTTTTCACAAACGTTATAAATAATTGCATTCGGGTAATTATTCCTCAAGTGTTGTTTAACGAGAAGCTGAAACGGGATTACTTGTCCGCAAGGGAGGGGACTTCAGCCGTGGAGAACCAAGTGTGCTTCGAGGACCAGGTTGTGGCCAACGCATGTAAGGGGAAAAATTGCGCTGGGGATAGCGGCGCTCTGTGGGTAGAGACGCTGCGCGGATGCTGCAAACGGCCCCCCCAAAATGTCTATTCCAGTTGTGTGCACCTTTTTTTCCCCTTCGCGTCTCAGGCAATCCTGTGTTCTCGTTCATAGAAATATTAATCATCAACAACCATGACTGGAGCGAAAGGAACCTTTTCCTGGACCTAATAAAAACGTTAGTTAAGTTGTGCAGGAAAATTGAAAACAAATACAACGTCCTGCGAATCATATGTGATGAGTACATGCTGTTCGTTAAGGGGGACGACAATAAGAAGAGTGATGCCAGATTTTTGGACAAGAACTATTTAAGGGTTCGGAAAATTAGCAGGAAGAGGATCGACTCCAGTGCATCGTTCACGCTGGAGGATGATTGCAGCTCATCCGTGTGCTCCGAGTCGGAGGGAGAGTGCTACGAGGGGGAGGAAGTGGAAGACACATCGGCTGAGGCAGCGATTGATGAGGCGGACACTGTCCATAACACCGATCCGGCCGACCCCACGGATGAAAATGGGGAAGAGCTCCTCCACGAAAGCCACAAGAACACGAAGAAAAGAACGAACAGGTGGGTAGCGAAAAATAAGATACAAAACAAGAGAAAGTCGACCCTTGTAGTGGATCAGAAAAGCTACTCCATCACTTACGAATCGGTCATGGTGAGGTACCTAAATATACTGATAAAATATATCAACTGCGAAAAGTATCAAATAAGGAGCATTATACTGGACCTATTTTTAGCCTTGATGAAGAAAAAAAAAACGAACAAAAATGAGTCGATTTTCTTGAAATTATTTAAATTATTTTTAGAGAGGTTAGAAGACCCTAACACGGTTGTGAAGGCAAAGGCACTGTCCATTTTGGGAATTCTAACGAATAGAAAATATCATGACAATAATTCACTTGTGTACAAATTTATATTCAACAAAACGAAGGAGAAGATTAATATGTATAAAATAATTTCAACAAATATTTTTAGTCATAAAAGTAATATACGAAAATTGACGGTGCAATATATAGAGGCCGTTTTCGAAACCCTCATAAAGAAAAAGCTATGTTATAAATTATTTTTAATTTTTATTTCCAATTATATGTACTGCTTATCCCTAGACGCCATGTCATCTGTGAGAAGACAAATTCTGCTCACGGTCAATAATTTGTTTATCAATGCGAGTGAACATGTGCATGTGGCGAAGATGTGGCTGTCCATTATCTTGGGAGCCATAACGGATGCAGAAGAGACGGTGAAGGATGAAGCCATTTCACTTTTTTTAAATACATTTATAAAAACTGCTTTTCAGTGCCCCATTTTGAAAGCAAGCGAGAAAAGGATACAAGAAGTTTTGGCCAATAATGAACTCACATATTTTAGGGCACCCCATAAACCATGGTCGCTGTCTTCAAGTAGGCACAACCATCCTGGGATTGATGGTGAAGAGAGGGGGTCCACATTTGACAGGGAGGCAGTAATACCACCTGAGGGAGACTTCGAATCTACGAAGGACAAAAACAAAAGCGAAAAGAAAGATAACATAGACGAGTGCGACAAGAATAATAACGGAGTGCTACTTCTCATGGACATATGGAAGACCCACTTTGGTGAAGACGAAACGAACTATTTTCTAACCCTGCTAAAGACGATGACCAAGTATGATCTGCAGAACTTTAACCTAATCATTTTTTGCCTCAAGCGAAAGAAGAATAACAGCCTCGAAGAATTTGTCAACCTGCTGAACTCCTTTATGTACAACCTGCGCTACTTTTCCATCAAAATGTGGAACATTTTCCTGCTCGATTTTGTCATAGAATTATCGAAGGATAACCAGCACAACGTGGACATTGGGAATGTTCTCTTCCTCCTGAACAGGTGCTACAGGGTGTATCTGCTGAGTGCCCCCCGGGCGGGGCCCATCCACATGGATAGCGTGGCCTCAGTTGGAGCAACAGATAGCGTTGGCGGTGTTGGCAACGAAATGGCCAGGGAGAACGCGCGCGGAGAGCGCCTAGCCGAGGAGCCCACCGACGATATCCTCACGAGGGACGACCTACTCGACGAGATGAACACATGCGGCAAAGGGGTCCTAAAAAACATCATGCTGAAGCTTTTTACCATCGTTTATAACTTACTAGACACGATAGAAGAGTTGAATAAAGATTTTATGAAAAATTTGGAGAATGCTATTTTTCACTTCAATTGTCCTCTGTGTCTAATTTACATTATTTTGAACATCCTGATTAAGAAGAAAAAGGATAACGTAAGCGAATTTATTGACAAGCTAAAATATAAGATTTGCTTTTTCTTTGAAATTATAGAATCTGTTCCGCATGACATGATTTTATGCAACATTTTAATTACCTTCATATTTCTGATGAAGCACTTTAAGAAAGGGGAGATGATGCCCTTTTTGACAACAGCTAGCCAAAAGCTAAAAAAAATATATGACCAGGCAATAAACAACGGGGCAGATGACAACAACAGTATCATGGTAAGGAATTGTATCTACTTAACCCAAAGTGCTTTATTAATTGACAAAGGGGTAAACATCAGAAACGATTTATTTTTAAGTATAGAAAGGGATTTAAAAAATGGCAACACATCAATGAACATCCTTAACAATTTAATCATCCTGACTTACTACATGATCATAAATTTTGGAAGCTCCTGCAACAAATTTGTATACATCCTGCTACGCTTTTTCAAGCACGAAAATAGCTTTATTCGTTATTTGTCCTTTTATATGATATCCAAATTAATATCTGAGGATTATGTAAAATTTAGTAATCATTTTTTCTTTGCATTTTTATACCTTCTAGCGGATAAGAACGAAACGATACAGAAACAATCTCTGTCCGTTTTTAAACATATACTTTTGATATACAACAAGGCAAATCTAATCAATTACATCATTGAGTTCATTTTTGTTCTGAACAACTTTTATCATTTCAAGCTCAGCAAGCATTTGGCAAATATCGGTAACAGTTACGAAATAAAAGACAAGAAGGATCGGTACATCATATATCATTTTCTGCTTGAAAATTTAAACAATAGTGAGAAGTTTTCGCTTCAACAGAAATTGATTAATGATTATCTAATACAGTATGTGTATAATTATGATAATTTTTACTTTTGCGAAGAAGATATAAATGAGCACAAAAATGGGAAGAAGAGAAATGTGATCCCCTTGAATGATGAAGATAACGAAGGGGCCGTCCTACAAGATGTCCTAAACATTTTGTCATCCAAATTAATGAAAATTAAAATAAAAAAAGATTTTACCAAATTGGAGGAAAAAAACAAAAATCACAAATTTAAAAATGTGGAAAATAGTGTTAAAGTTCTTAATGATTTAATGAAAAATATTTTAAAAAAAAATACCCTCCCAATTTTGTTATCCCTCAGGGCAATTATGCTTAAGGCAAAATCTTTTTTCTACAAACATATAAACAATTTAATTATTTACCTTTGTCTGGACTATCGAGATGCTCTAGAGGACCTCATCCCCGAGATGCACGTCAGAAATGAGGTCGCCAACGATTTGCAAAATTTCATCTATGTAGACTTAATACAAATGCACACTGATCAGGATGACCCCTTCCGGAAGAACAACAAGGTCGTTAACATCAATGTGAACTTTCTGGAGCTGTCTCAGAACCAGGTCATCGAGGAGAACCGGGAACGAGAACACCAGCTCGAGATGGAGAAAAAATCTGCCGCGGACTACCAGCACAGCGACAGTGAAGGTGAAAGTGAAAGTGATTATGACGAGGTCCACAATGTGCTGCACGGGATTCACGACGTTCCGGGGGGCTCCTCCAGAAAAAAGAGGGGGCGAGGTAGGCGCAAATAATTTTACTTAAAATCACCATTCATGTGAACGGCACAGGGGGCATTATACGGGGGAAGTGGAGTCCCTGTTGAATGGATAGAAAAGACGGATCGCAGTGAAGCTTTCCCGTGGTACCCACAACGTTAGAACCCGAGTCGGCAAATGTGTCTTCTGCCATCTGCCCCCCCCCAAGGACGGGGGTTTTACTTCTTCTTGGCCTCCTTTGTGTTCAAAAACTTGAGGTTGTTGTTTGTAGAAGCGCACATCTTCTTGGCCATTTCCTCAATTTTGTCTATCTTGACCAGCTTGCTTTTCTGAGAGGGGGGAAGCACGAACGTGCATACGCACATATGAGGGCATGTATGCACATACATACATATGGATCGCATGTATGAACGCATGTAAGGGCGTTTTTATACAGGCCACGCACTGGCCACAAGGTGCACGCGCAAATATATGTACGTGCTAACCTTCCTTAAACTTTTGACGTCAATTTTTTCCTTATTCTTTTTGGCCTTCTTGGACTTGTTTTTCCGTTCCGTTATTTTATTCTTCTTCACCTTGACCTTTAAGTTCTGCACCATTTTTCTTTTTTTTTACTATGGTTTAAAAATTGCTTCTCTGACGTATTTCCAAAGGGACCCCTTTTTCCTTTGTGATTTGCGCGTTTGCTTTTGTGTTCGCGTTATGGCAGGGAGGAGTAAATACAAGGTGGAGCGGACAACCGAGGGGGACACTGCTCAACAGGGGGAAAACAGAAATTTCTTCCGTCGAGTTTATGCAAAATGAGGTAGCCTATTCCTACCTCTGTAAATATTTTTAAAACATCTCAAAAAGTGAACCCAAAAAGGGGACAAAAAAAAATTAACGATAATATATGCGCCAACGGGGGACGCCGCATTTCCGCAGAACGAACTAGCCAAAAATAGATTTAAAAAAAAAAATATATATATATATATAATATATATGCACGAATCGGGCAAAACGGTATTCTATTTGTAGGACTCGAAATGAGGTGGAAATAATGTCGGGGCCAGGCCCCCTCGTTCCTTCGCAATATTTTTAACATACGGTAGTTTCTTTTTTTCTGCTTTCTGGCCAATTCTCAGAAAGTGGCATATGCTTGCAACCCTCGTGTGAGGGCGAATGTTATGTAAACACATGTCACTGTATGTAGGAAAGTATTATACCTTTATTATTTTACTTTTTTTTTTTTTGTAACATATAAAAATACCCCCTTCCCACGAATACACTCACGCGTGCGTGATTCTCCCCTGGCGGCGAACAATTATGAACGAGAAAATCCCAGACCTGATTGTGGGTCACGAAAAAAAGGAAAAGGAGAGGTTACGGAAAACGAGAAGAAAAAAAAACACCAACCATTACATACACAGGAAGGACAAGTACAGCTTTATATACTTCCTTTTTTTACATAATAAAAATAACCACGTTGAAATTACAACCAACAATTTCGATGTGTTAAAAGGCGAAATTAGCGATGTAAAAAAATACCCCAGTAATAACAAACTAAAGGGAGTTATCCTTACGAACGTGATAAAAAAAGGCTCCATCAACAAATGTACATTTAAGAAGGCATATATTTCTTTGGCGAATATACGCTGCTGTGTACCTGTTGGTAGCCATGGGAATGCAAAAGGAACGGGGAGGGAGAAGACAATCTCGAGCGTCATTATCAACGGGTATAAAAATTTAATGGTGAATGAGATATATGAAAAGTTTAAAAAAATTGGGGGGTAGGCCAAGTGAAACGTAACGTATCGTAACGTGTAGGTAGCGTTAGAGGTCATCGCAAAATGTGTGCAAAACGCATGTGTAGACTGGGCAGTTGGGCTACCCCGCGGCGCCTCGTCATAATAGGCCTGTAATTACCAAACTACAGTTATGCCTTAAAAGGAACACCCCTTGTGGTTACAGCGCCGAACCAAATTGATCCTTCCCAAGATAGCATGAGAGGCGTACATTTCTGAAATGAAAAACTACTCTACAAAATAGGAAGACGCACAGAAGGGCCCAGCAGCACGGCGGAATTGTAGGGGGCATTTCTAAAAGAGTATCATTTTTAAGTACCGCATTGCAACACCGATTCGATTGACGCTGCCCTAATTGGGAACAAGTAAAAGACGGGGGGGCAGCATAACATGGCCGACACGACTATCCATTACAACTTCACAAGGGTAGACTCATTGCATTGTAAGGCCAATGGAGGGTATGTGTCTATCTATGTTATGTGTGTAGTGCTTCGTCCCTGTATCAATTTCCCATCGTCTGGGCATGCTAAAGCGGCTTTTGGCCTTTCCCTGTCGTAAACCGTAACGCGTTTCACACATAGGGAGATTGACCCAGGGCACGCCAACAGTGAAACTTCCCGCGTAGTCCCAGGTGTGCCGCTTCGCAGGCTCAAATGCCTCTTCATTTTTGCGCAGCTCCACGTAAAGCGGTTGTTCTATTTTTACGAGTTTCACAATTTTTATAATTTTTTTTTTTTTTTTTTGTGCTTCTTCATTTGAAGTAGTTTTTCTTTTTTTTTCTAATTTAAAAAAAAAAATTTAAAGATTAATAAAAAAAAAAAAAAAAAAAGAGGAGGGGGGAACACAGTTTAAGCATGTATAGACAACTCCATGATATATATACATATATGTATATGTGCATATGTATATATGTTTGCTGTGGTGAAAATGGCGAATTGTATTTGTATATATGTTGAGCACTCCGTTTTTCGTAATCTGCTTTTGTGCTGTCCTCAACTCAAGTCTATAATTTGCAAATCCACTGACGTTAATACATTTTTCTTTAAGTGAATTGTATTAAAAAAAAATGAAAAAAAAAAATGACAATAAAATGACAATTTATGTGGTGTGAAGGGCTGTGCACATAGCTCCATGTTTACAAGATGAAGGGGAATATGGCTTTCCTGTTTCTGCACAAAGGTGATGGGAAAAAAAGAAAAAAAAAAACATAGTGAAATGTGTGCAACAAATACATCGCAGAGGTCTACTCTGATCGGCGCACATTTATGTACGTGTAGACAATTGCGGAGGCGTTACTTCGGATAATTGGGAAATTCTCTCTTATAATTATTGTGCTTCTTTAATGCCCAAACGGCCATCTGCGTCGTGGCCACTATGCTGAAGAAGTAGCCTGGAAAAAAAAAAAAGGGGGAGGGGTCACATATCAATAGTGGTGTATATAAAACGCTTTCCCATGTTGTCCCTAATACACAGACTCATCCCTGTGCCAACATTTGCATGGGGAGGATGGGTTGCTACTTCTATGGAAAAGTGATTTTCCATTCCTTACCTGTTAATGTATTTATTATGAGGGCGAATATAATCCATATTAGCGATTCATAAAAATAATTTGCGCATGAAATGTAGTTAAAGCCATATCCGTGGGGTATCCCTCTGTTTTTGGTACCTGTGGAAAGGGGGGGAGGGGAAGTATGAAAGGGGTGGTATATATAGCACGGCAGGGGGGAGGAGGAGGTGGCCACTCATAGGTGGGAAAAAGGTGTTTCTCCACCCCGTAAGCGCAATGATACACTTCGCACACTGCACAATGAAGGCCCCACCTCTTGGTCTTAAATTTCTCAATATCAAATGGCACTTTAAATTTAGAAACTCCAGAATCTGCAACAAAAAAAAAAGGGTGATGGTAACATATGAAGAAGTAAATATGATCACCTTTGCCCTCTTCTTTTTTTTTTTCCTTTTTAGGGAGGAAGACTTACTAATAAGACACAAAAAAAAGAATAGACGATGACTGGTTTTGTTTCTAAATTGTATGGTTTGTAAAGGGGATGAAATAGATAATAACCAATATTTACGCCACATAATACCCTGAAAATGGTGATGCAAAAAAAAAAAGGAGATGAGGAAAAAATGAAAGGGTGTAGGCGAAGAATTTTGCTCTCTACAGAGGGCGGGTGGGGCAACCCCGCAAAAGCAACACCATGTCGCTGGACCGATTAACTCTAAATAGAGAAGCGGCAAAAAATTGCCACCCGTGAGGAGAACATACCAATAGTGGCCGCAATTTATGGGAACCCTCCTTATAGGCATTGTGGCATTGCTAAATCGATGTACAAACATAGATTCGAATTCTCGCTTTAAAAAGTGGAACAGCAGAAACCACAGGGATAGGCTGTGATAGGGGGGCAAGGACAACATGTATATATATATTAAAATAGACAAAACACAGAGATAATCTTAGGCGCATACTCGTCGTGATGTCCACGAACCAAGATATCGCGCAATCACTCACATTTGAATAATGTGTTTATTTTTGTTCGCCTGGGAGTAAACATATTTATCACAGAAGTAAAAAAAAGGAAAGATAAAAATGGGTCCCAGGTATTCTATCACGTAAACTAGTCGCCATGATATTTGAACGCCTGTAAAAGGGGAACGGGTGATGTGTAACATGTTGTGGTGTTAATTAAGAGGGGGGTGGAGTTGCTGAGGCTCCACTTAAAGGACGTCTATTCGAGTATAATGAAGCCAACGCACGCGCAAGTGCCCCTACCGAGATCCTTAAATATTAGAATGTCACTGTCTTTTATTCCATTTTCGTGGAACGTCCCACTTTTTAGAGTCTTCCCCGCGGCTGTGTAAACGGAAAAAAAAAAAAAATTAATAAATAAAATAAAGCACAGTGATAAGGTCGTTGGCCTGTAGAACAGTGCCCCTTTCCAGCACGTAACGCTAGAACGGGAGGAAAAGCTCTGGAACCGGAGAATCCATCCAGATGTTCTACTTTTCCCATCTTGCAATGTTATATTGTCCATTCACCCTCGGGGCAAATACACATATATGTACATATGTATGTATATCATTTTCTCGTGTAAAAATTGTACCACTGTCTAAATTCCACTGCTGCCTCTCGGGGTAGTAATGATCTGGAAGAAAAAACAAAAAAAAAAATGGGGGGGGGATAAAAAATTTTGCACAGATGTTCCTCTTCCCTCTCCTGTGTTGTATGCCGCAAACAGTGGCAGACAAGTT